AATAAAGGCAGCCTTTTGGAGGAACTGCTCAGACTAAACACAGATTGGCTGAAGGCTGGCCCCATTTGTAAGGATGCTGGGCGCAACGCTCCATCGCTGAACCTCAGGCTTGAGAATTCTTCTTCACTAGATATGTGATGTTCTTTCATTTGCCTAATCAGAGTCATGGAAAAAGAGTTAAGTCCCGACTTAAATAGAACACAGAAGCCCAATAGCACTGGCCTGGTCAAACTTTATTGTGTCTCATTCTTTTGCAAATGTGGGGGCAGGACTGACCTTAAATGTTAAGTGTTTCAAAAAGAAAGAAATTAAAACCCCCTTGAGTCCCATGATCCTGTATCTGGTCAGTCAGTTCAGGTAGACCAGATAAAAATCACAGGACTCCTCACCAGATCTCACTGTCCATTTAGGGTTTCTTTTACATCTTCATGATTCATATCCCTTGTTCTATTATAGACATTCAGTCTTTAAATGAGCTGTTCCTTTAGGATCATGATCATCCTTGCTAAGCCTTCAGTGAACTTGGATGCCAATGAAAGTAGCTGTTAGCTGTTTTCTTCAAAATTCTTAGAATTGGGTTTTCTAGTAACAAGTGGCCACATCTAAAGTTAGCACTTTTTACTTTCATTCTAGTAACTTCTTCATGGGAAAGGTCTCTGTGTCCAGGGAAAATCAGAAAAAAAGTAAATAACAAAAGGACCACAAGATGTTTGGCCAACTCAGGGCTGTACTACAATCACCCCTCCCCAACAAGTTGGTGAGAGTCATGGGTGAGCAACGGACAGCCCTGCTGGTTATTTGGTTAGGCTACCTATCAGAACCTTTTTTTTTTTGCCATTTTCTTTCCCATTTTAACCATTTTCACCCAACTTGTAGCCACTGTGGAAGAGTCAGTCTAGTTAGTGTATTAGTTTAGGGGTGAAACTTCGTCCTGAACTACTTCCTCTTTGTATTTCTCCTCCCTGGATGATGCAGAACACATTGCTCTGCCTGCAGAATGGGCCATACTGGCAAATGTGTTCTGTGGTTCTTGATGACTCTTAAGTTTCCATGTTTTCCCCTCCTGATCATATTTGTTTTAATCCTCCTCTCTCTCTACCCCAGATTTTCTCCTTCCTCTTTTCCTTTCCATCAGCTCCTTTTTCATTGCCAGTAATACATTGCAGCACAGGGGTGGGGTACCTCCATTTAAGGTAACAGATATAGACTAAACTCTCAGCTTTGCCATTTATTGGAGAGGCTATTCCTGAGACCTCCACATTATGACTGAGCTACCATCACCTCATCTTTACAAGAAGGGAATGAAAAGTGCTAGGATTTTTTTCTTTTTTTTTTTCTTTTTTTTTTTAGAATCAGAGCCATGCATAGCACCTAGAAGGAGAACAGACTCAGCGCTGGCATTAATAAATTGTGGCTATTATCTTCAGCCATTCATGCTTTAAAAAATTTTTTATTTTCTCTATCTTAAGTTTTTGCCTGCATGTGTATAAGTGTATCATATGTGTGTCCAGGGCCAATGGAGTCCAGGCAAGGGCATTAGATCTGCAAGCTGCCACATGGATACTGGATGCTGAACCTGGGTCCTC